GCTGTTGCAAATGTGGTTGTATTTGGAGTGACAGTAGTTGTCTCTCCAATTTTGGATGTTGTTGATGCAGCAGTGGTTGTTGTGTTGACAGCAGTGATTGTGTGGACAGGCATTGTTCCCTTAGCAGTTGTTGAGGACGTAGCTGCAGATGATGTAGTGGTCGGAATAGTTGTAGTTGTTATCTTATCAGCTGTGGTTGTATTTGGAGCGACAGTGGTTGTCTCTCTAACTATGGTCGTTGTTAATGCAGCAGTGGTTGTCAATGGTGCTGGTTGTGTGGACAGCAATGGTTGCGATGATGTAGAAGTGAGGTTAGAGTTGATGTCTGAGCAGCTTTGTTAGTTGTATTGTTCTTTACTGAGATGTCGAGGATGTAGTGGTTGTTGTGTTGACAGCAGTGGTTGTGTGATTGCAGGTGGTTGTTACAGCAATTTAGTAGATGTTGAGGACGTAGCTGAAGATGATGTAGAAGTGGGAGAAGGTAGAGTTGTTGTCTGAGCAGCTGTGGTAGTTGTATGGTCAAAGGTCGGTGCTGTCTGTATAAGTGAAGTTGTTGCTGGAGTTGATGATGACATAGTTGCAGCTGCTGTCGTCAAGCGGAATTCGGTGCTTTTGCTGTTGCAATGTGGTTGTATTTGGAGACATTAGTTGTCTCTCCAATTTTGGATGTTGTTGATGCAGCAGTGGTTGTTGTGTTGACAGCAGTGATTGTGTGGACAGGCATTGTTCCCTTAGCAGTTGTTGAGGACGTAGCTGCAGATGATGTAGTGGTCGGAATAGTTGTAGTTGTTATCTTATCAGCTGTGGTTGTATTTGGAGCGACAGTGGTTGTCTCTCCAACTATGGTCGTTGTTAATGCAGCAGTGGTTGTCGTGTTGACAGCAATGGTTGCGTGGACAGGTGTTGTTACTTTACTAGATGTCGAGGACGTAGTGGTTGTTGTGTTGACAGCAGTGGTTGTGTGACAGGTGTTGTTACTTTAGTAGATGTTGAGGACGTAGCTGAAGATGATGTAGTGGTCGGAATAGTTGTAGTTGTTATCTTATCAGCTGTGGTTGTATTTGGAGCAACAGTGGTTGTCTCTCCAACTGTGGATGTTATTAATGCAGCAGTGGTTGTTTTGTTGACAGCAGTGGTTATGTGGACAGGTGTTGTTACTTTACTAGATGTTGAGGATGTAGCTGCAGATGATGTAGAAGTGGGATAAGTTAGAGTTGTTGTCTGAGCAGCTGTGGTAGTTGTATGTTCAAAGGTCGGTGCTGTCTGTATAAGTGAAGTTGTTGCTGGAGTAGATGATGACATAGTTGCAGCTGCTGTCGTATGGAATTCTGTGCTTTTGCTGTTGCAATGTGGGAGTATATGGAGTGACAGTAGTTGTCTCTCCAATTTTGGATGTTGTTGATGCAGCAGTGGTTGTTGTGTTGACAGCAGTGATTGTGTGGACAGGTGTTGTTTCCTTAGCAGTTGTTGAGGACGTAGCTGCAGATGATGTAGTGGTCGGAATAGTTAGAAGTTGTTATCTTACATCAGCTGTGGTTGTATTTGGAGCAACAGTGGTTGTTTCTCCAACTGTGGATGTTGTTAATGCAGCAGTGATTGTTGTGTTGACAGCAGTGGTTGTGTGACAGGTGTTGTTACTTTACTAGATGCTGAAGACGTAGCTGCAGATGATGTAGAAGTGGAAGAAGTAGAGTTGTTGTCTGAGCAGCTGTGGAAGTTGTATGTTCAAAGGTCGGTGTTGTCTGTATCAGTGAAGTTGTTGGAGTTGATGACCCACAGCTGCA